TGGTGTTCGCTGTAATCTCGGCCTGGGGGTTAATTATTCCCGTCTGCCAGTCCCAAAAGCTCAGGATAAGTGAGTAGTGAGGAGCAGGACCCCATTTCCCTTGTCTGGGGGGGGAGAGCAAAGAGCATTGCCCTGGGAACCCCCAAATGCTGGGATGTTCTATAGGGTGGGCAGGGGTGATGGCTGGCAGGGATTGCCGGGGTCACTGCAGTCACCCCCCTGTGCTCTGGGATTTAGGGGGGGAGCTCTGGAGGTGGCTCAGCTGCTACACCTGCGGGCTGGTGTGCATCGCCTGCATCCTGGAGGGCACCGCCGGCGTCCTCTGGATGTGGGAGGAAGGTCAGAGGGGCTGGGGGGGTTTGGAGGGAGGGGGGACAGACCCCAGGGGAGATGAGAGCCCAGAGAGGAAGGCAGGGAGGGACGGGGGGGGTCACACCATGGGGTGGGGGGGAGAGACACATCTGGGTCAGTACAGGATCCGTGTGTGCTCCATGTGTGCTCCATGTGTGATCTCCATGTGTGATCTCCAGCTCTGGGGGAGCCTGGAGCTCCACGTGCAATACACGCCCCCCAAATTAATGAATTAATCCAGTTATTGCCCTTTCCCCAGAGCCCTTTCCCAGGATGAGTCCCAGCAGGACAAAGTGATCAGAGAATGCAGAGGCTGCAAGGAAAGGCCGGGAGTCAGAGGAGGGTGGGGAAGGGATGCGATGCGGGGCTCCAGGAGGGGTGGGCAGGGGGACATCGGGGTCTCTGCTCTGTCCCTTTGTCTCTCAGGCCCTTCCGTGGCTGTGATCCTCCCTGAGATCACCCTGAGCTACCTCACCGTGGTCACCTTCCTGGTTGCCACCACCGTGATTTTCCAGCCGGCAGATTTCAGCCATCTGAAGAGCAGAAAAGGTGAGGGGGTCCCACCATGACGGACCAAACTGCTCCACGGGGCTTACTCCACCCTGAACATCACCCCTAACTTTTAAGATGAGAAGTGCTGCGGGTCGCTCCGCAGTGCCCGGCTGAGGCCAGCCCTGCACCCACAGCTCTTGTCACCCTTTTTCCTCGCCCTCACCCCGTCCCTGCAGCCCAGCGCACCATGGGCTACGCCGCGCCCGGCGCCGTGGTGGCCGTGGTGCTCAGCAGCTCCTTCCTCATCAAGAGCATCCACCAGCGCCACGGTGAGCACAGACCCTCGGGGGTGACCCAAGCCACGCCTCGAGCAGCCCCCACCTCCCTTCAGCTCCTCTCACACCCCCAAAACCAAACCCACCCACCCGGGAGTTTCGGGGAAGGGAGATCTTGGCAGGAGCAAAGCTCAGTTTCAACGTCCTCCGTCTGTTTTATTTCCTATTTTTTGTGTGTTTGTGCTTTCGTGGTGGCATCCTGCCCTCCTCCCTTGGCTGCCCTGCTCTGTTGTCGCCGGTGGCAGAAGGAGGATGCACGGAGTTCATGGATGTCACCATCCTGGTGGCCAGCACGGCGGCCGTGGCAGCCCTGCCGCTCCTGGCCATCGGCCTCTGCTGTGAGTCCGCTCCTTCCTCCTCTTCCTCAGGGTCCCCGCTCCACCCAGCAGCCACTGGAGTCATTTCAAAAAGCTTTATTTGGTTTTTGTGAAGCCCCCGTGGGCAGCGGTTCCCACTGAGTGTTTCCCTTCCCTGGGAAACCCAAAACCAAATCCCAAATCCCTCACCCCAGGGACTGAATCCTAAATCCCACACCCCAGGGACTGAATCCCAAATCCCACACCCCAGGGACTGAATCCCAAATCCCACACCCCATCCTTGGTGCCTCTCCCTCCTTCTCCTGATCTGGGCACAGATTTTTCTTTTGCAGACCAAAGGACTCAGGGCTGGCACAAGGACAATGATGGCTCTTGGACAGACAAAGTCAGGTAGGTCCTTTATTCCTATTTTCCACATAAATTCCTATTTTCCACGTGAATTTGTACATCTTGAAGTGAAAGGAGCAGGATGTGGAAACTCTCCTGTGTTTTTAGGGATCTTAAGAAAGATCCAGCCTTGGGTTCTTGCTGGGTTCAGGGGGAGGCTCTGGTGGGGTCCCCATCCAGAAAAGCATTTGAGAGCCCTCTCAAAACTCCCTTTATGGCCTCAGCCTGAAGATTTTAAGCCTTAATTCCTCCTGGATTTCCATGGATTAACAGAATGGTTTGGGTGGAAAGGGAACTCTAAGATTATCCTGTTCCACCTCCCACTGTCCCAGGCTGCTCCAAGCCCCATCCAGCCTGGCCTTGGACATTCCCAGGGATCCAGGGGCAGCCCCAGCTGCTCTGGGCACCTCTGCCAGGGCAATTCCCACCCTGCCAGGGAACAATTTGGATGCTCAGCATGTGCCCCCTCCTCTTCCCTCCAGCTCCTTTGAGATGTCTCAGCCAGGCACCAAGGACACCATTCCCAGCTGAGATCCATGGGGTGTCTCTCCCCTGGCTAAGCCAGCCCCACTTTTGGTTCCTCTATGATCCTCATAATAAACATCCACGAAATTAACCTGATTCTGCCTTTTTTTTTTAATAAAACAGACCCAGGAGAGGCCAAATGCACATTTGCCCCTTTCTCTCTCCAGAAAACCAAAGCCTGAAATAGAGAAGCCCCTTCAGCAGCAGCTGCAGGAGTCCCTCTTTATTTAATTTATCTTTATTTAATATTTATCTTTATTTAATTTATCTTTATTCAATATTTACCTTTATTTCATATTTGTTTACAACAATTTAGAGCTATTTGTGGAAGATACACCTGGCAGTAGCATGAAATACTTCTCTGGGTGTAACCCTGTGGTAACCTGAAATAGATTCTGGCTTTAGCAGTAGTAAAGGCAGAGGAAGGACAAGAAGGCACAGAGAGCAGGGAGGGAGGAGGTGGAAGCTGTCAACAGCTCCTCCCCAGGTCCATCCCAGGCCGTCTGACACACTCTGGGATTTATTTACTCCAGGCAGGATTAAAGCACACCCAGCCTGTGCCAGGGGCCTGGCACAACACCCTGAGGTGTTTCCTGCAGCCCAAGGGAGGCTTTTCCAACCACAAGCAGCTGCTGAGCACAGCCCTGCACCCCAAGGCCCCCACTGGAACCCCAAACCTCCCCAAAAAGCCCCCCTGGAGCAGCCCTGACCCAGCTCCTCGGGAGGCAGCTCCTCCTTGGCACTGCCAGGGCACTGCCAGGCTCCTGTGACTCAGGGAACGGGGCCAGGTTAAAAATACCCTCAGGCAGATTTGGAGCAGAGCTGTGGGGCTGTTTTTAAGCCCAGCTCAGTCCCTCGGGCTCAGGAGGAGGCGAGGGAGGGGATGGGGATGCAGGAACCCCCCCCAGGAGCAAGGGATCATCCCCAGAGCCGGGCACTGCCACACCCCACCAGGGGCTGATTCCCATCCCCTGCCAGCCCAGGCTCCAGCCACCCCCGGGGCATTTCCCAGCCCTGAACATCACAGCAGCACCCTCTGCCATGACACACACTCTTTATTAGCAGCAACAGCCAGCACCAGCCCACAAAACCATCCCCAAAACGTTTCTGTGGCTGTTTTACACCCTCAAGTGCAACAGGGGCTGGAATCTCATTTCTCCCACCCAAACTCCTCTGCTTCCTTTAAAGGCTTCACAAAAAGCCCAGGCTGAGAGGGCCCCTTGCCAACAGCCCCTCAATCTCCCAGTGCTCCCTCCCAAAATTTCCCCGTTTGCCTTTCAGAGGTCCCCAGCCTGTTCCAGAGGTGTTGGGGACCGGGATTTCCCCCCCAGGATGTCCTGGGGTGACCAACAGTGGGGTCCAGGCTGGAAATTCCTGCTCTGCCTCCAGGCTCAGCTGAAGGAGCAGCATCCCCTGGGAGCACAGCCCAGGAGAGCCCTGAGAGGCCACGGGGGAGGGAGGGGACAGCAGGGGACAGGAGCAGGGGACAGGAGCAGGGGACAGGAGCAGGGCTCCCTGTATCCAGCCCATGTCACCTGCAGGAGCAGCACACGGGAAGAGGTTTGGGGATGTCCCCAGGAATGTCCCCAGGGATGTCCCCAGGGATGTCCCCAGATCCTGCAGAGCCCAGGGCTGGAGCTGGGCTCAGGGACATCCCCACCTCAGCAGCCACAGGGATTTCCTTGGGATCTTTCACAAACTGAATTCCTTTGCTGCTCCCCCATTCCCTGCCAGCTCCCGCTGCACACCCAGCACAGCCCGGGGTCACAGGGAGCAGGGTGCCCTGAGCTCAGCCCCCTGGCACTCCCCTGGCACAGCAGGACACCAGCAGGCCCCAGGGCTGGCACCGTGGCACCTCCAGCAGCCCCAGGGCTGTGGATTTATTTGCCCAGCAGGGACAGGGGCTCTTTCCAGAGCCATGAGCCCTTGGAGGCCTCTGGAGGAAGGAGGGAGGGAGGGAGGGAGCAGGTACATCCCTCTCCTCAGGGATGCACAACAGGAAGAGCAGGACAACATAGAAAGAGTCCAAACCAGCGCTTTCCAAAAAACTATTTGCAGGTTCTGGCAGCTTGAACACTTCAGAGGTGAGCCCAGGAGAGGCTGGGATGGGATGGGAGGCTGGGATGGGAGGCTGGGATGGGATACCTGGCACTCCCAGCCGTGTCCATCACCAGGGAAGGGCAGGGCTGACTCTGCTCTACCTGCAAGGAGAAGAGAGGCCCCACCTGAGCCATGTCCTGAGCACCTGGGCCCCTGCAGGGTCTCAGCCAGCTCAGAGTGTCCCACACTGGCAGTGGCAGCACCAGGAGGTCTGGATTTCTGCCCTGCTCCAAATTCCAGGAGCTACCTTGGCCAGTTTATCCCTGGCTGGAGTTCCCTGGGATCTGCCTGCACAAGGCACCTGAGAGCTCCTTGTTTGTAACCCAGCACTTTGTGGGATGGGTTTGCCATCCTGAGGGACCCAATCCTGATCCTCACCCTCCAGGAAGCTCCAGGGAACAGCCTGAGTGTGTTTGTGGTCACAGGGAAGGAGCAATTTCTGAGAACATCTCGAGAATCATTCATTTCCCAGAAATCTCCAGAGTATTCAAATTCAGTATTCACCCATTATTCAGGAGTGTCAGGCTCTGGGTGGAGGAATCAGGAATATTTCTAGAGTGGGGATTAAATAGAGGGAACAGCAAATCCTCTGAGCCTCCAGGGTGGGAGAGCAGCCTCTTAGCAGAGAGGCTGGAATAGCACCCCGAGCTCTCCCTCTTCTCCAGCTCACTCACATCCAGCCAAGGATAAATTTGGGCTTGTAGAGAGGAAATTTTGGGAGAATCAAGGGGGCCACCCCAAGAGTGGGCTGGAGGTATCTTACCAACAGCTGTCACTCGAGTTCTTCCTTCTCTGGCACCAGACAAAGATACCTGGGGACAAGGCAGCAGCATCAGACAATCCCAGAATCCCAGAATCCCAGAACTGTTTGGGAGGGACCTTCAAAGCCCACCCAGTTGCAACCCCTGCCATGGGCAGGACCACCTTCCACCAGCCCAGGCTGCTCAGAGCCCCACCAGCACCATCATCATCATCATCATCATCATCATCATCATCATCATCATCATCATCATCATCATCATCATCATCATCATCATCATCATCATCATCATCATCATCATCATCAGTGGAGGCCAGCATGACCTCCTTGGCCTGGGGACAGCAGCTGTGCCAAAGCCCAGCCCCTGCCCAGGGGACGCCAGGGTGGGAGAGCAGGGATGTGCCACATGGGACCCTCTCACCCACCTCTGGTGGCCACAGCACCTGCCATGGCAGCCACCAGCCAGAAACGGGGCAGAGAGTCACCCCAGCACCCACCTGCATCATCCCAGCACCCACCTGCTCACCCCAGCACCCACCTGTACACCCCAGCACCCACCTGCCCATCTCAGCACCCACCTGCCCATCTCAGCACCCACCTGCCCATCTCAGCACCCACCTGCAAGCAAGCCAATGATGACACAGGCCAGGACCACAGGCAGCACCACGTTTTCAGAGTCTGCAAAGGAAAGAACCCAGAGCAAATTTAAAAACCTGAATTTAACCCATCCACACCTTCCCAGCAAAGCTGCCTGCTCGGCACAGGTGGGCACAGAGAATCCCTTTGCTGGGGAAGGGAAGGGAAGGGAAGGGAAGGGAAGGGATGATTGCACTCACGGTGGACCTGGAGCAGGAAGGAGGTCTCGTTCTGGCTCACTGCATTGCTCACCACACACGTGTAGTAGCCGCTGTGGCTGATGCTGGCCCGCAGGATGCACAGCGTGCTGTTCTGCACGAACTGGATGTGCTCACTGCCCAGCAGCAGCTCCCCGTCCTTCTTCCACCAGTAGGAGTCTGCCTTGCCCTGCAGCACGCTGCAAACCAGCCGGGTGCTGCCTCCCGCCTTCACAAAGGGGCTGCCCACGATTCTCGGCTGGGACAGCGGCTCTGGGAGAGGCACAGGCAGCGTCAGCACCCAAACCTTGGCGGTGGAAGCCTGGGAGTTCTGAACTATCTGTGTTTTCTGACACAAAAGAACACTGCTTTTGACCTGAGGCCTTGGGAAAAGCTTCCAAATTTGAGAGACAGAGTTAAAATCACTGGTGTGCAGTTAGAATAGAAGTGTGTAAATATCACACGGTGAAGGGTTTGGAATTTGGGGTTTTAGAGTATTAACAGGTATGGGACAAGATGGAGGTTCTTCTTTCTTGTTCCTTCTTAGTTTTAGGTAGGAGGTTTTGGTTGAATAAAGCTACCACAGTGTGGGTCACAGGAGTTTGGTCATTGGGTCAAAAGCATAAATAATATAGTAATATAATTAATATAATATAATATTTTTATATAATAACTATATAAATATTTGTTTTTAATTTTAATTTAAAAACCTTGTAACTAGCTAGATTCAGCTCCACTTTCTCACTTTTAGCTTGTTAGCTAGAAGTGCTGTAAAACTCACTGTGCTATGGATAAGAATTAATAAACAACTGAGCACAAACACAAAAATCCTGTCTCTTGTACTTCACCTAACTAAAGGCAGGAAAAGAAAGAAA